ACTGGCGAGAAGGTCTCATCATAGTCAACCCCTGGGGTTTGAGTGAAACCTTTTGCAACCAGTCGAGCCTTGAATGTGTGCACATTTCCATCCATGTCTGTCTTCTTCTTGAAGATCCATTTGCACCCAACTGTCTTACGACCTGGTGCACTATCAACCAAATTCCAAACTTGGTTGTCATACATGGACTTAATCTCGCTGTCCATTGCCTCTTTCCACTTGGAAGCCTCTGGGCCTGCCATTGCTTCCTTATAAGTGACTGGTTCATCTAAGTTTACCAGTGTTCTGTCACTTATGAATGTGTCACCATCTGAAGTAATATGAAAACCATACAACTCAGGTGGCACACTCACCCTAGTGGATCTTCTAAGAGGTAATGAGTTATCAATTGGTTCAACAGGAACTGTTTCCTCTGTTTGAGTGCTAGTGTCATCTAAGGTTCCTTCATTGGCTGACTCTTGAATTTCTTCAAGGTCAATAGTGCTCCCACTGTCCTCTTTGAATATGAGCTCTCTTTCAAGAAAGACTCCTCTTCGTGCTACAAAGACCACGTTCTCACTAGGCCTGTAGAACAAATATCCAAAAGACTGCTTTGGGTAACCAATGAAAACACATTTCTCACTTCTAGCTGCTAGCTTGTCGTGAGTCTCTCGTCTTACGAAAGCTTCACAACCCCAGACTTTAATATGTGCTAACGAGGGAACTTTCCCTGTCCACATTTCGTGAGGTGTTTTGGCAACCTTCTTTGTAGGGACAAGATTGAGGATGTGGGCGGCTGTCTCTAAGGCATACCCCCAGAAGTGAATAGGAAGCGAAGCCCGACTCATCATAGAACGAACCATGTCTAACAAGGTTCGATTGCGCCTCTCAGCTACACCATTTAACTGTGGTGTCCTAGGAGGAGTCAATTGTGAGACTATCCCACATTCTTTCAGATAGTCGTTAAACTCGATACTAAGATACTCCCCGCCTCTATCGGATCTAAGTATCTTTATCTTTCTGCCCAATTGATTTTCGACTTCATGCTTAAACTCTTTGAACTTTTCAAAAGTTTCTGACTTATGCTTGATCAAGTAGATATATCCATATCTGCTATAATCGTCAGTGAAAGTCACATAGAATCGATTAGCATCTCTTGTAGTTGATCTGAAGGGCCCACACACATCCGTGTGTATGAGATCCAACAGACCTTCACCTCTTTCACAAGACCCTGTGAATGGTGATTTTGTCATCTTTCCCAAAAGACAAGATTCACACATATCATCTGATTTTAGGTCAAATGATTCCAACACTCCATCCTTTTGGAGTTGGGCTATGCGTTTCTTGTTAATGTGTCCAAGACGACAATGCCACAAGCATGCCTTGTCTACACTATTAGACAAGTCAATATTAAGTACACTATTTCCTAGGCTATCAACACAAGTCACTGTTTCATACACACCATTACAAGGCAAAGCTTCAAACATAAAAACACCATTCTTATAAAAGAAATTGAAACCATTCAAATCATTAAAAGAATATGTAAAACCTTGTCTGAACAATGCATGAAATGAAATAATGTTTCTCGTCATCTCAGACGAATAGCAACAATTTATTAAATCTAATCTAACATCATTACTAAGCAGAAGCTGATAAACTCCGATCTTGGTTACTGGTGAAGACTTTCTGTTTCCCATGATCAGGTTTATCCTTCCTCGCTCTATCTCCTCACTTTCCTTTAGACCCTGCAAATCAGAACAGATATGAAAACCACATCCTGTATCAAGGACCCATGAACGAGAAGATAATGAGTTATTAGCAGAAATAGTGTAAATACCTACTGAAGATGGCTTCACTTTGCCATCCTTGATATCTTGCAGATATTGTGGGCAAGATCTCTTCCAATGCCCCTTTTGGTTGCAGTAAAAGCAAACTGCCTCTTTTGGATCAGAAACATGGGGAGTGGAACCATTGGGCTTAGCCTTTGGGCCATTACTAGATGACCCAGCTTGAGCCTTGCTCTTCCAGTTTTGTTGGGAGGACCTTTCCTCTTTTTCCCCTTTCCCTGTCCAATAGCCAAAACAGGGGCACTCGTAGGTGTGGAGGGTATACTTTTACCCTTCATCCCTGCCTCAGCTGTCTGCAACAAGTTGTGCAATTGGGCCAAGGTCTGCTCAGTATTGTTCAAATGGTAAGTTAGAATAAACTGACCATAACATTCAGGAAGTGAGTTCAAGACCATGTCAATGGCCAATTCCTCATCAAAGTGAATATTGAGCTTGACCAAACGCTCTATGTAGCGTTGCATTCTTTGCACATGTGACACAACCGACTCCCCATCTTTCATCTTGCAAGCCATGAGTGACTTGACTACTTCTAACTTTTCTTGACGAGCTCGCTTATGGTACTTTTCCATAAGGTCCTTGTTCATCTCGAAAGGCCAGTAGTCCTCATAGTACCTCTGCAGTTCTGGGGACATAGTTGCCACCATGATGCATGCCACTTTGGTAGCATCATCGTAATGTTTCTTGTAGGCAGCAAGATCTTCAGGAGTAGCTTCATTCTCATCAAGCTCTTTGAGCTCCTTTTCAAGAACATATTCTTTGTTCTCGAAACGAAGAGCCATCTTGATGTTGCGCATCCAATCGTTATAGTTTGAGCCATCCATAACGACTTTGGAGCAGATTATTGAGCAAAGAGAAGTTTGGTTGGAGGAGGACGAAGCAGAAGTGTTTCCAGGAGTAGACATCTGAAAAGAAAGAAAGTTTTAGTTAGATTTCAAGATACCTTAATAGAATAACCCAAAGATATAATATCAAGGTTAGGATCCAACTATGAAGATTCACAACTTAGAAATGGGATGCCGAGATCCAAGTGCAAATTTCATAAAGGTAGGTGAATGACGATTCACCAATTCCACCATTAGACGAAACAAACGAAGTGAAATTCCTAATTCTTTTGAGATACATTGAAACTATTCAATGGCATGTTTTATTCTCAGATTATGCTCTTCTATTTGTGACTGGGATGCCGAGGATCACAAACAAGATGTGAATAACCATGCAAATGTGCTTGGTAACCTCATTGTCTTTATCATTAACTATTGATGTGCTTGTAAACCACACACGCTCCATCAAATGACAATTATGAGATACCCATTACTACTCTTTATTAGTGCCTTTTAGTGTGCTGGTTAACCACACACGCTCCACTAACGACCAATAAAGCATAATGTGCAATTTCATGGATTAGCATACTTTTCACATTTTTCCTAAAGTAACTAGAGTTGGGATTTTGAAAATAATGTTCTAGTACTTTCTTTAATATCATTATACTTTTAATGAGAAGTAGTTGTCCTATCAAATCCGTTCTGCTAACGACCCTCCACTAATCAAGGAAGCGGTGGGTGAGAGTGGACACCCATTCAACTACCATTTTATAGGCAGTTTCCTTATACCCCCTTATAGATTAGCTTCGTGAATGAGGCATACTAGCGATTTGACTGACCATGTTCTTATACAATATAATATTAAACTTTTAATTATAATATATATATATAAGGTGTGTTTTAAAACATTTTAAAACTTCAAGGGTTTATAAATTTCAAAATTTAAGCTATTAAATTTAAATTTAAATAAACCAATTAACTAGATTTAATATTTATCTTTTAATTAACTATTAATCAAATTATTAAATCTTGTAAGGATTATCTAATTAAATTAATCCATTAATTTAATCCTAATCCTTATCCCTCTAAATTTCGAAAAATTAGGGTAAGGATAATTATCCAATTAATCTAATTAAGTAACAATTATCCAAAACAAGAAACCCTAGTTATCCTCTAGCATATTTCGAAATTTACAAGGGAGGAGGCTAGGGTTTTCAAAACCCTAACCCTAATTTCGATTAGGGTTCTTTGGAGGCTAGGGTTTTCGAAAAAACCCTTTGATCCAAAACCCTAGAAATCGAAAATTTGGCCTTTAGGGTTTAATAGCTATAAACCCTAATTTGCAATTCAACAATTGTAGCAATTCAATTTAAAACAACAATGGCTCTGATACCACTGATGGGTTTTAGGTACAACAAATAAACTAGAAAACAATTCCTAAGTTCACATGCAACCTACTTTGGATCTATGTTTTAACTATTGAACATACAACTTTGAATTGCAAAACAAGAACCTTAGAGGAGAGAGGCTAATTTCGAAATTAACAAACTAGGGTTTAGGGTTTACATACCTTTCAATTGCTATAGCAAACAATTGATATTCCCTTGATCTTGATCTTGATCTTCTTGGAAGCTTTAGCACCACAAGTGTAATGCCTCTAATGGAATCACACCCAAACTAGCAAGAAGGAAAGTAGAAGAAGAGAGGGGAGAGGGAGTATGCAAAATCTCGGCCTTAGGGTTTCTTCAAAAGAAACAGTCACCAAAACATGAACCAGGAGGCTCCTTATATAGCTGAGGGATCTAGGGTTTAAGGGAAACCCTAGTTATCCTTTGCTTAGGGCCTAAGCAAACCCAAGGGCCTTATCCAAGCCCTATGGACGAAATTATTAGGGTTTCCCCTAAAGATTTCGTCCACCCTCTTCCAAGGGGGTTCTAGAGCCTTCCACTCAACTATTAGATAATTGCAAACTAGTCCCTGCACCTTATAATTAATTCTTTTAACCCCAAAATCAATTCTGATTAATTTCTGGCTAACAATTAATTAAACATAATGATTTCTAATTAATATATTAATCCATTAACATATTAATAAATCATTTATATATATATATATATATATATATATATATATATATATATTAATTAATCTTATAAATTAATATCTCTCCTTTCATAATTTCCTTGTCCAGTTGCTAGGTTGAGGGCAACCCAAAAGGACTGTGCTGCTATCAATTCAAGTACATACCAATTATAGTTAAGGGCTTAGACACCTAATCCAACAAATCCCTCACTGGTGAAGAATGGCCCAATATTGTATCTTCAGGTGGTGTGTCAGGAACACTCCTTCTTCGTCAGTTGAATCTTCTTGCAACACCAGTTTCCTTTGTTTCTTTTGTGGCTTTTGTTTCTTTGAAATCTTCTTTGCCATATCTTCTGCTCTCCTTTTCTTGGTTTTGTGGTGAAACAGGAACGGGTATTTCACAAATGAGAATCCCCTTTCGACCAATTTGTGGTTTTCTAACAAACGAAGGTGAAAAACTTCCAGACCTTTCAGGAGAATGACGAGACTTATGAGCCATTTTCTTGAGCCGTTTGAGAACACCAGTTTTTGAAGATACCACATCCTTCAAAGGATCAACATTTTCAGTAACAACAAACTTTGATCTTGATTTCAAAGCTTTTACTTTAACTATGACCTTCTTTGGAGATTTAGCTGCTTTTTCCACTAAAACAACTTTCGAAGGGCTTGGATGATCTTCCTTCTTTGAACCTCTCCTTGTCTTCGAAGGACCTTCGGTTGTCTTCTCTAACAACTTCCCAATTTCAACATCAGGATTTATCGTAGTCAAATAATTCACCAACACAGGATGCAGAGGATCAACTTTTCGAAGCATTGCATCAGGAATTCTAGCAACACTTGGAAAAATTTCAGCATCATCTTCAACAGCTTTAGGAAACTGATATAAACCAAAAGTAGCAGTTTTCTTCGTTTTCAGGGACTGGAATACCCTCTTTGTTATATACAAACTAAAGAATAAGACTTCAGTATCTAGCACACGAGACCCCATCAACACCATTCGTGTTTTCAATGCTTTTGGTAAATTCTTTCTAGAGTTGTGTCGCATAATCCACCTATAAATCATAGTAAATGCCAGCCACCATAACATATACTTCCAGCCTTCCTTTGTCTAATCCCACACTTCGACCTGTCAAGCATCGAAGATAAATTCCAAAGAGAAAATTCCAAATACACGGCAACCCCGATTTCTTGAACTCACTGATCTTGGTGAGAGTAGGTTTATAACCCATCTCATTGAACATGTGAATCACTTGTTCATTCGAGACTTTGTAAAACGGCTCACAATTAGGGATGTTCAAGATTTAGGCGAACAACTTCTTTGAGAGTCTGAACTTCTTGTCGTTCGTCAATTGAAAAGTAACAATCATCATGGTTTGCTGCTGTAATGTTGCAGTAGAACTAGCCATAGATAACCAAGACATTGGAACATCAAAGGAGTTGAACATGGCAGTAGACAACACAGAACTCTTGAGAGCCACAACGAGCATCTGTAAGCCCTCCGGATAAACACTTTCATCACCTTGAACTTGAAAGTTTGTACTTTGAATCTTCATCAATGGTTGAGACGAAACATCTTCTATGGTTTGTGATTGATGAGCAACCATGATTAGGGTTTGGAAAAGACCTTGAAGAAACAGAGAATATGAGTGCACAAATCTTTTGAGAATAAACTGTGAGCGTAAAATTGGAATGGATCCCCCAAATCTCCTTTTATATGTAACCACAATTTGAATCCCAAAGGGTTAGCATTCATAGACTTGCCACGTGTTCCTTGAAAGTCGTACCCTTAGCCGTAAAGCACGCCATGTCAGGAAAAAGGGATGAGTTATGTACCCTAGAAAAGCGCACAGTAACCAAACCATCACATCACACGTCGTTTCGAAAGCCCCCAGTGGATAAGAACCGTTAGAAACCTTCGGAATTGAGGTTAGGCTCTTTCACTTTGGGTTTAAAAGCGAAGTCATGTGCCAGACTTTCGAATCATTAACCTGAGTTGGTAATACTCATAACCTCGAGGATTTCGTGAGTGCATGTGTGCCAATGAAAAAGATAACAAACAAATATAAGAAAATTTGGATCAGTGATGTCGAAAATCAAAATTTCAACATAAAGGCAGTTAGATCCAGGCAAAGATCGCTTCGCTAATTATCAAGAGAGATATCAACAGCTTGTGTGGTTTCCCGTGAAGTACAATCGAATACTTGTAGAGAAGTATCGAAGGGCTTCTTTTATCAATTTTCAAAGGTGGTTTAAGATTTCGTTACAAAGCACATCTAAACATAAGAGTGACAAGTTGTAAACGAAATTACTTGTGTGACCAGTGTAGTCAGTGACAAGTAGGCTTTGGAAAATGTATTAAGTAACGAAGGTTAAGAATGACACTCATACATAAATCATATTCTTCAAACCAAAAGTATTCCTGAATCCTGTCGGGAAACAAATGTCGTGGGTTTCGAAATATTGATCAAGATTACTACAAAAGAAAGAATATGATTTTGAGTATCGAAAATGGGTAGAGAAACAAAAGTTTCGTTAATATCTGGAACAAAGTTCCCCGTTAATTCCTTATGTTTCGAAAGTTTGAGTTTCACTTTCATCACGGTCTCATGATGTTAGATCATAAACACAGAAGTTTGATATGTCTAGATCCTGATTGGTGTATACCATAAATCTCTTGGACATATGTCATTGTGTGTGAATGTGAAAGAACTTTAGGATGAAAAAGATTGGTTTAAAGATTTGAAAGTACCACTGTTATTCATTGACCAAGCAGAAAACTCTAAACTCAAATGAGTTGAGTATGGTAGCTCACTGACTAATGGGAATATAGCCTAGTTGGGAAGAATCCTCAGAATGAGGGATTCATTAAGGCTTCGAAACCCATTGAGTCTTGGAGGCTTGGGTCGACATGCTGCAGCATGCTTCTAGGGACTTCCTAACTAGTACATAGTTTCGAAAGTATACCTTTCCCTTAAGCAGCAAGCATGAACCATCAAAAATCTTCGCGGATACCTACACACAAAAAGAAAAACACAAACAAGACACAAAATATTTTTGGATTTTTGAGTTTTTGAATGAAAATAAAAAAAACGAAAAATCTTTTTGGTATTTTTGAACTTTTAATAACAAAAGACAAAAATGAAAATATTTTTGGTGTTTTTGATATGAAATGAAAATACAAAAGTAACGAAAAATCTTTTGGTATTTTTGATATTGAAATTGAAAGACAAAACTAACGAAAATTTAAGAAATGACTAAACTAACGAAGATTTTTGTCAAACTATTTGAGCACAATGTTGAAAGCGAAGCATGTCGAAGCGTTGACTATGAACAGTAACCACTGAATCATGAACAGTAACCGTTGAATCGACATCTTTTCGACACTTGTGGCTTGTCATTCTAACGAAAGTAGTCCAGGAACTGAATTTGCATTCATCATCCTAAGCCATTTAGAATTCTTACAAACGATTTTTCATCCAAAGGTTTTGTAAAGATATCAGCAAGCTGATCAGTGGTCTTTACAAAATGAACTTCTATGTTTCCATCTTCAACATGATCTTTAATAAAATTATAACGAAGAGCAATGTGTTTGGTTTTTGAATGTTGCACAGGGTTATGGCAGATGCAAATGGCACTTTGTGAGTCACAATACAACGGGATTTTCTTCATGTTGATTGCATAATCACGCAGTTGAGTTTGTATCCATATGATTTGTGAAGTGCAAGTTGCAGCAACAACATACTCTGCTTCTGCTATGGAAATCAAAACACATGTTTGCTTTTTCGATTGTCAGCTTACTAACTTCCCATCCAGTAGTTGACATCCGCCACTTTTGTTCTTTCGATCAAGATTGCAACCTCCCAAATCAGCATCGGAAAATGCTTGTATGAAAAAGCATGTCTTCGAAGGATACCACAATCCTAACAACGTTGTTCCTTTGAGATAACGAAATATATTCTTTACAGCAGTTAAGTGAGGTTCCCTGGGATTTGATTGATAGCTAGCACAATTGCATACAGAAAAAAATAATATCAGGTCGACTTTCCGTGAGGTAAAGTAACAAACCTATCATGCTTTGATACAATGTGATATCAACAGTTGGTTGGTCCAATGATGGATTTAGCCTTGTTCCAACAGCCATTGGTACTCTCAGCTTCGTGCTATTCGTCATTCCAAATTTTTCCAGCAGATTTCGTGTATACTTCTCTTGATTGATAAATATTCCTTCTCTGCTTTGACGAATGTTTAATCCCAGAAAATTATTTATCTTCCCCATCATACTCATTTCAAACTGGCTTTTCATTAAATTTTCAAATTCTCTTGACAAAGCAGGGTCCAAAAATAATATCATCGACATAAATTTGAACAAGCATAAGATGATCCCCAACTTTCTTTCGAAAGAGAGTGGGATCAACTGATCCTTGTTTAAATTTCGATTGTTTTAAGAACTTGGTAAGAGCTGCATACCATGCTCTTGGTGCTTGTTTTAACCCATATACAACTTTATATAAGATATAACAATGATTAGGGAATTCTTCGTTAATAAAACCTGGAGGTTGTTCAACGTACACTGTCTCTTCGAGTTCACCGTTGAGAAAAGCACATTTTTGCTCGGACTGCATAATAGCGATAATTCTGTAACATACCCTCGAACAAAACGTCTTTGGATATGCCAAGAACTCGAACTATTTTCAACAGTGACCATATATCCTCCTCCTTCTTCCCAAGTACAGCATGAAAGCGAAACTTTAAACGTTTGAATTCAGTCTTATCCTTGTATTTGTCAGCAAGTTCGAATTGCTCATCCAGGAACATCATTCTATTCACTGGAAAATCTAGTTGATTTAGATTTGTGTTTACAGTGTCGAAACTTCTTCTAGGAATCTTTTCAAATTCATGCATTGCCCCTGTCACTGTCAAAGCTTCGATATATTCATAGTGATATATCTTGTTGGATCACCTTTGTTCAGACCAGGAGGATCATTTGCATGTTGTTTCAAAAGGCTTTGAACATGCCTTTGTTTTTCTATCTCTACTTCTTGAACAGCTTTGATATCTTCTTTCAAAGGTTCAATAATGACACCTTTGCCTTTGCCTTTATCAACTTCAGTTGGCTTAGGCTTTGAAGAACCTGATTCTCCACCAGCTGACCCAATAACTATACCCTTCATTATTGGTCTTGTTGTTGTTGTGTTTGATGACGAAACAAGTGTTGTTGTTGGTAAAGATGTTGGAATTTAAGTGGTCAATACTCTTCCAACCACCTTGGCATCACCTTCCACATTTCCAGAACCACTTCCTCCAGTATTCACTTTCGAACCAGTACCAACACCATCCTTTTCGATTTCGATTCATCAGTCCCGTAGTAATTTTGACTTTTATCTTTTCGTTGACCACGATGAACACTAAATCGAGATCTGATTGTCGGTAAATATGGACCAATGAATAATAATGGATCAATTTTATTGAATTGGGCTCCATCAAAGATATCGGATTAAAAACAAATCAATGAAATTGGCTGCAAATTTGGATTGATAAACAGTAGAAGATCGAGATTGTTGTTTGGGTTAAAAAATTAACAATAAAAGGCTTAAAAATTGTGTTGAGATTTAGGCTTGATCTAAGAAAAAATGTATTGGATCACCAATGGGGTTGAAATGGATTAGATCCAATGACCATTATGAAGCAATAGATAAACGGATTAGAAAAAACGAAACACTTGCCATGCATGGTTGTTTGCTAGATAAAGGGATGTAAAGCAATGAGGTGTCACTCCATTTGTAAATTCTTTTCTTTTTCCTTTTTTTGTCTTGTGCCAAACCCGAAACCTCATAGGGTTTTTGGTCATGGGTTATTTGAGCCGAGAACCTCTAAGCAAAGGCCCAAAATTTGGTTTTTGGTTTAGCTATTAGATCATACTTGAGCTTTTTAGGGGTTGTTACAACTCGATTATTAGTGTATGCATATATGTACTCATATAACATTGTCATTTATGAATTTCAAAAATCTAATGCAACAAGGTTACATAGAGAAATTTTTTGTACATGAATACAATCTCGATCCTAAATTTGCTAGTTATGACATCTCTCCTCTCATCCTATTGCAAAGAGTGTTTGTAAGTCATTAGAGGTGTCACATTTGAGGCACTTGCTCTCAAGAGTTCAAGATCATCAAGGTTTCATTGTTATTACTACATAACAATAAAGGTATGCATCTAAACCCTAGTATTGTATAGATTTCGAAATTTGTATTAGCTTCCTAGGGTTTCTCTCTTGTATTCAAGTTTGCATGTTCAACTAGTAATAACCTAGATCCAAAGCATTGGGGTTGTATGAACACATAGGATTTGTTTTTATGCTCAAAAACCATCTATATATATATATATATATATATATATATATATATATATATATATATATATATATATATATATATATATATATTGTATGTGTATGTGTGGATACTTTCAAGCAAGAATCATGTAAAGATGAAAGGGCTTTTACCATCCAACTAAAGAAAACAAAGGAAGAAGCTAATTTCTCTCTTTGTGTATAGATTTATTTTGAAGATCATATAATTATCCATGAATCCTAATTTTTAGGGTTTGGCCGAATGGTTAAATTAAGTTAGATAATTATAATTTAAGTTGTATAATCATGTTATTCACAATAAAATAACATTTGTTGGACTTGATTACTTAGTTAATTTTTATGAGCTAAATTTCAAGATTATTAGACAAAATCATGTAGGAATATTATGTAGGAAATAGGTTCATATGACTTGTAAATTTGTGAAAGGAAGTAATATAAATCATCAGGTTGATATGAACTTGAAATTAAAAACATGGGACAACATCATGACTATGATCTTAGTTGTTATGGGATGACATAAGTTAAGGCAGTCACATGATTATATGAAATTAGTATGTAAAAATCATTTAACAAGAATATGATTAATCAATTAAATGGGAGTTGAAGGTTCAAGAATTCAAGGAAATGACAAAGAGATAATTGTTTCATAGTTAGACAACATAAGTATTAAGGTGAGTACATATATTTTTATCATGGGATACATGAAAAAACAAGTTATTCTTTTATAAACCAAAGTGCTAAGTTTCATATAAGTATGAGTATTTGCAAACTTCAAAAGTGTTAATGTTTTGTTTTGAACCAAAATCTTGAAGTATGAAACATGATTATTACCTTGATTCTTTATAAGAAACATGTTATGAGTATATAGATATAAAAGACATATGATGCTAGTTGATTTCACAAACAAGACTTAGTCTTGTAGGTTAAAGTTTTTATATTGTTATGAATTAAATTTTGAGTGTGTTTATAATTTTGGATTATTTTAGGAATCTTGAATCATGATTATTTGGAAATTTGAAACATATTATTGTTTTGTCTTATATTTTAAAGGTATGGGTTATTATTTCAAAGACATAGCATGCTAATTTATTTATATTTGACTTTGGTGAGTTTGTACCTAGTTTAAGTTTGATTAAGTTGTTTTCATGAACACATTTATTGTTTTAATGCCTAGACAAAAAGTATCTCTATAATCGGATAAGCTTGAAGGCTCTACTGGGATAGTACCTCCCATCACGAACTAGATGCCTAGACCATAGATACCATAGTGAGTTGATTTGTTCTTCTCGCTTTGGTAAGTAAGATAGAGTGGAATATGTGAAGTCACTATATTAGGTCTTTAATCTACGTACAATATTTTTATACAGAGCTAGAGATGGTGAAACCTGTAAGGTTTTCAGTTGTTTTATTTTGTGATCATGCATTGTATATTGTTTGTCTATTCAATAAGTTATTTGAGTACAATTTTATTGAAAGTTTAAATTTTGCATTGAGCTTTGCTTATCTTTGCATGAAGTTTGTTTTGAAAAAAGGTTATATTAAAAGTTTTGAACAAGTTCGTGTATTTATATTTCATTGTAAAAATTTGCAAATATTCCAAAATTTTCTATAAAATTATTTATATTGCTTTTTGGTATCAACTATGCTATTAAGGTATTAAGCTCTAAAACTTCATGATAGATAATTTACAATTCTCCCTTCTAAAAATAGATAATTTCCAATTCTAAATACTACACATGGATGGAAGGATATGCTAACACATACAAGTTTATAATTTCTTATATAAAGAACTCAAACTCAATAACAGATAAATACGCTCTACAGTTGCCTTTAAACACTTATCCACAATTTCTCTCGAGTGTAAGTCGATCGCAAATTCGTGATGATACCATAATTAAATAAAAGAAGTTGAATCTCTTATCAACTACGCCTTCACCAATCTCTTCTTTAAGTTTTTCATTTATAACCTTATGTATCTTAAAATTGCAAACAACGTTGATTAATATAAGAATTATGTATCCATTTTATTTAGTTATTATTCTAATTACAAAATCACTTCTAACATAAAAAATTCAACTATTGATTACACAAGATATATGGCCCTTTGGAAGAACTTTTTTTTTTCTTTATTTCACTTTTGGCTGTGTATCTAAGGTGCTGTTTGTTTTTTCTGAGGCAAAATATCTGCAGTCTGCGGACCACATCTGTAGACCTCTACAGTAAAAGAGGTGGACCAAACGTCTACAGTCTGAAAAAAGAAGACTGTTTGTTTTTTTAACATCTGCGGGCTACTAAAATAAATTGAAATCTAAATAAACTGATTTTTTTAAACTTTAAAGTGATTTTTTAATATTTTTATGACTTTGTTATAAATAATTAACAAATCTAGATCAACTTTTATGTATTATTTTAAAAAAAATAAAAATAAAAATGGTATGAATTAACATATATATTTGATAAAAACCAACAACTTTGGTTGGAAAGTTATAACTAAACATTATAATTAGTGATAAAAGAATTTGATACATAAATGGATGGAAATAAACTTCGATTTTTTCAATTAAATCCATTAAAAACGTACCATAAATATTTTCTTGAGAAATTAACGATATTGTATTAAATAATGTTTTAAAAATTTTGGCAAAAAAATATAAGAATATATTATGATTTTTTTTTCATATTTATATAAACAACTTCAACGACTATTATTATAATAAATCTTTATTTATAAATTTGTCAAAAATATCATGTCTGTATCGTCGAACATTTTTTTTTTTTTAGTTTTGTAATTTTATTTTCAAATTGTTTATCGTTAATAAAGATGGAAAAAATATAAATTAAAAAAAAAACTTAAAAAAAAATAAAGATATATATGTTTTTTTAGGCTTGAAGATGTTAGAAGACTTTGGTCCACATCTGCGCCAAGAAGAGGGCGCGCAGACATTTTTAGGTCTGCAGTCTTCAAAAAAACAAACAGTCTGCGAACGCTAATGTCTGCGCGTGGTCTGTACGGAGCAGACAGAAGAGGTCACGCAGATTTGCAGACAAAAAACAAACACTACCTAATTCTTCATTGTTGACAACCCCACCCTATTTCTTACATTGAAAATCATCTTCGATCGCATACCTACTGAAGTGTCTATTATGAATTGATATTAAAATAAAAATTGCAATATCTGAAGGTATATCATATTTGTAGTGTTTGTTTTTTAAATCTTTTCTAATTATCTAATGAAGTCTTGATTTTTTATAAGCAAAATAATAATAATAATAATAATAATATTAATAATAATAATAATATTATTAATAATAATAATAATAACCCCGAGTCCTATCATATAATTTGTAATCTTTTAAAAACATGCGCTATTACTTTAAAACGAATTGACAATAACATTAAATTAAAAAAAAAAAAAAAACAATAACTACATTAGATCTTTTTGTCAAATATATAAAAGATAATAAAAGTATTAAGCATATAGTTTATAAAAATATATAACAAGAGAAATACTATATAACCATTCTGAAGTTGATATTTGATATTAAAATGGATATTACAGAACATTTAATAATTGTCAAAAAATAATTGAGATTTGAAGTTTCTATATAATCAGAGAAGTACAAGTTAAGTACTATTGATAACCTTTGAGAAAGTCACAACCATTATTGAATAAATGTTTGAAATATCAAGGTGAAAGCCACAAGTATCTTTGACGTCCCTTCATTTTTGTAAGTAAAGTTGATTCTTAGCTTTTACACAAAAGGCTACTGCACTCCTCCATTCATTATTGTAAGTGCTAACTGGAGCCCACCAATGTAAGAAAGATCTTTTGAAAGCTGTCATAATCTAGCGTAAGAAACAACATCTTTTCAAAGCTGCTGATAATCTTCCACACGTCTATAATTCTCAGGTATGTTTACGAAAGAGCATAATAGCATCATCATCGTTTAACAAACTAATATTGTGTATAACATCTACCTTGTGAGCATTTAATTAATGTTCATCTCTAGTTGTGATTATTATTCGTCTTCCTTCACCGAACCAATCACGTGACCCAACCAACGTTTTTAAATTGTTAACGTGATCCACATCATCAGAAACAATCGCCCTTTCTATGGCAAAACCTAAATGTTAGCTGACTCACATGATTGGTTCGTTGTAGGAAGCCGAATAATAATCACAACTAAAGATGAACATTTATTATATGCTCACAAGGTAGATGTTATACACAATATTAGCTTGTTAGACGATAACGGGGCTGATAGGCTCTTCCACAAACATGCACCCCAGGATTATAGACTTTTGGAAGATTATAGACCTATGGAAGATTATGAGTTGCTTTCAAAAGATGTGGTTTTTTATGCTGGTGGGCTCCCGTTAGCATTTAACGTCCTCGATTGTTTTCTGTGTGACAAAGACATTAATGAGTAAGCATATTTTGTTAAACCATATTTTTATGCTGGTGGGCTCCCGTTTACATTCTTTTCCATAAATAAATTTATCTTGTAATTTTGTTAAACCACACGTTCTTGAGTCCTCTTGAATATTTTGAACAAAACAGCAACCATCAAACTTGATAGAGATTTCATCATAAATCGAAGATGCAAGAGTAGTCTTACCACCTCCCCCAACCCCCCATATTCCAATCATGCGCAAACCACTTGAGTCAATTTGTAACTTTGATTTCAAACTTTGCATACGAGCATTTGTGCTTGATTTTATTAGCTACAACCTCTGTGAAATTGTGTAAACAGTTTGTTTGACGCCCTTTGATTCATACCTACACATCAGATATACAAGGATAATTAACATACTAACATTGACAACATCAAAAGTAATGAACATATCTCCACTAGTTGTGATTACTAATCAAAAGATCAGGTCAGAGCCTTTCCTCATTATCATCAGCGACATGTAAGGATAATCAAGACATTTGTACAAAATGCTTATAAGGTACAAGTGCAAATTTCTTGTATAGCATCACATATCTTAAGCATAAAAAGTGCAAAATCAAAAAAGAAAACTACCTGTTAGCGATTTGATTCGTCTACAAGATTCGACTTTGTTCTTGTTCTCTAACTCATGTTTCACAAATGCTTCTCCGTATTTCCGTTTTTGTTTTCGCACTTAAGATGGATCCACATCATAAAATATGGGCATAACGATTTTCCCTCTCGTATCTTTGCATTAAATAATATACTCAAGTTCAACTAAACACCATGAAGAATCTGCATAGTTTTTAGAGAATACGATGATGACAATATCTGATTTTTTGATTGCCTTCTTAAAGGATGGGTCGATCAATAGTATTTTGTCATCCTTGTAAGTGTAGATCCCTTGTTGCACAAAAGTTGTGTAAACATGATCCACAAAAGTCTTGCGAGAATCTGTTCTAAAACTAAGAAAAACATTGTGATTCCATGATTGAGATGAAAAGACGGAGCTGAAGGAGAATGTGATGATGATGATGCCATTGATGTGCTGATTTATTGACATAGAATGATGTGGTTTGAGCACCTGAAATAAATATAATTGTTTATAAAGATATGTGAGCTTCCAAGAAATTTCGAATTTACCGAAAGCTATAGAAATATCAAATATCTTATCACTTAAGATTTTCAAAGAGATAGAGTTTCCTAGAAATTTCTTAACATATGACATTTTCAATTGAAATAAATTAAATAAGAAAAAATCGCCCCTATGTTACACTGACATTTCTGATATTGTCCATATCTTCCGTTCATACAATTCTTCCTCTGTTTCAGACATTTCCAAAAATAGAGCATATATAAGATCCTCAATTTCATCATATTAAATTTTCAAGGTTTAACAGACTGATTAAAAAAATGGTTCCATAACTCGATTCGATTCTCTATGATGCTAGATCTCACGTATTTACTACGGAGGTTGTTACAACCAGCATGAAATATAAAGAAATTAGAACATGTTCATAATGCAATCCGACACAAGTAACCCAGATAGTATTTTCTAGAAACTTTAATTTCAATTCCACGATTATCACATTTATCAAGCAAAAACTCGAGTACTAGAAATAATTTGATACAGCAAAAGGTAGCAGAAAAAACAGCAGCTACAGCAAGAACGAAGCATGTAACAGAGACAATTTAAATTACTTACTTGTTTGTTGATGTCAATCCGTTTGACCAACAACGAAGCATTTGATATTTCACATTCAAATCACCAATTTGCTTCAAGCACCAAACATGTGAAGTATGTGAAGATCAGCGAAGGAAGCTTCGGATCGTAGGGAGGCGTGATGGAAGCAAATCGGAGGTGGAGGCGTGATGGAGAGGAGAGTGTTTATTAGGTTAAATATACGGCCCCTTTTATGAAGTCCTGGCCCATAAGCTGCACACCATATGACCCGGCCTGACACACTACTGGCCCTTTTAGAGTTTGGGTATACTCCCTTCCTAGTCCGGTCTAAGGATGTAAATAGGTCCAAAACCAGCCTGACAGCCTCAATCATAATGGAACCGAAAATCGGATTATGTAATTATAGTAAACAAAAGATCCGACCATTTAGAAGAAACCGGTTCTGGTACGAAAAAGGAAAGAACCGTTTTTTTTAGGACATGGGTTGTTTTGTAATTGTGAGCAAATGCAGGGGATGTTATTGTTTTGTAATAATAAGTTACCCTCGTGCAAAAGGTTCATACCGTCGACTAAATTCTTATAATTTAGGTATAAGCCATATATTAGTCTTGCATAATAAAAACTTTATTGAGCGCACGTATTTTGCAACGTATTTAGTAATTCACATGGGCCTAAAATGATATCTTTAGGATGGACAGTAGGGGTCGGGGGAGAAGGACGGCGATACCATGCGGTAATAGACAATGGCGGAGCTTCAATATTTCATTTGGGGGGCCGAAAATATAATTTGTATAAAAATTGGTGAACAGGGGTTCATAGTCAAAATTTTATATTTTTGGACTAAATATGTATAAAGTTAAAGAATAGGGACTATTTATGCCAAAAAAATCAGAGGGGGGGGGGGGGGGGGGGGGCTGTCCCTTGAAAAGATCCGCCCATGGTAATAGATCCTTCAAAGAATTCATACCGCTAAAGGGAAGACATGCAGGTATATCAAACCGCCTCTCTCTCTCTCCAACATTTGTACAATAGTCTTCAACAGTTGTACTATATATTGCTTTATATTAGTTTTTAAATAAATTTTGTATGTTTTTAGTATTGGTGAATTACTTTTATGTAATTTTAATTAGTTTGTGTTTATTTAAAAATTAAAAATTAAGTGGCATATGATGAATAAAAAATATAGGTTTCCATTTTTTGTGGAATTGGAAAGATAGAAGAGAGAGAAATAGAAGATATATAAAATCAAAAAGGTTAAGTGAGTTGGGATGCATGAGTAGTACCTTATGTCCCCTGGGAAATGTTGAATGGTTAATTGTGGGAGTTGATTTAATTTTGACTATTGTTTGGAAAATTGTTTAAAAAAAATAGGGAAGTTGAGTAATTTAATAATATTTTAGTTTATAGTTAAAAAAAATCAATCTTTTTAAAAGTAACCATTGTGTTTGGAATGCCCATTTCGGACGAGACCAAAACAGGTCAAGCATACTATTGTAGCTCAATGTTATATAATATGGGCCCCACACCTTAGTCAGAATAAACATTTTGAATTTTGAAAATTTCGAAGCTCGTGAGACCGCATTTCGGATAGAGGTTTTAACATGGATTCATCAAACCATGTCAAATTAACTCTTTAAGTAACATGCATTTAAGTTTGCAAATAATTATTTGTATTATGGAATACGTAGATCATGTCTCGGAATACGAAGAACAAGTCTGAAATATCTATTTTTTGTATTTTTTAGATATATAAGACCCATATAAATATCTTAAAATATGTAAATCATCATTTTTTAGTCAGGAATACAAGGGATTTCATAATGATAGTATCACTTCGGAATACGGAGATCAATTCCAGAATGATATTCTAGAATGACAGTCCATAATAAAAAATCAATATATATATATATATATATATATATATATATATATATATATATATATATATATGTTAATTTGAGACCATGCTAATTTTGTGAGATATGGGGACGCGACACTCATCTTGGATATCAAAAAATAAAAAAATAAAAAAAAAATTATAAATTGCAAAATAAAAGGAAAAATCCAAATTTTTTTAAATATTATTTTTGTTATTTAATTTATCCAAAAAAGTAAATATATATATAAAAATAAAAATAAAAAATTCACCGTTTTTTTCGAAATATAAGTGAAATATTCTAATAAAATATTACATTGTAATAATCAAATCGAATTTTAAGAATGTTAAAATATTCTAATATTTTTACTAAAATTGGTAGATATGTTAAAATATTCTAATATTATATTATAATTTTTTTGAATATTTATACTTTAATATTCTAGTAGAATATTCTAACATTTTTAAATTTTGATTTGAATATTTAGAGTATAATAATATATTAGAATATTTTCATGTATATTTTGAAAACATATTTTGAAAAAAAGTGTAATTTTTTTATTTTTTTTATTTGTTTATTTTTTTGATAAAATAAATGACGAAAATAATATTTAAAAAAATTCGAAAATTTTCATTTATTTTGCATTTAATTTTTTTTTATCTTCAAAATGAATGGCTAGGATCGCGACCTCATGTCTTACAAAATATGATGGTCTCACATGAACCTATATATATATATATATATATATATATATATATATATATATATATATATATATATATATATTTGTTATTGATATTGTTAAATACCATGTATTAGTCTGAAGACGACGTGGATGTTATTAAAAAAAATGGGTTTTACGGATGAAAAAATTGTATTCCATTTACATAAGCTTTCAGAATTACGCCCGATAAAGGTAAAATTGAATTAAAAAGAATTGTAATAACTAATTTGTAACATCCCAAAAATACGAAGTAAAATTTTCATTTTTTAAATAATCAAAACCATTTATTCATTTGTTTAAAAGATAATCAGGGTATAAAGTATTTTCAAACATCAAAGTAAAATCATAAAATGAATAGTGCATAATAAAACTCCAGGGGATGCAATGCGGCAAGTCATGCCCTTCCCTTTGGAACCAGAAATACCTGAACAATAAACGTAAACTGTAAGCACGAAGCTTACTGAGTTCTCCAAAATACAACATATCGTACATAAAGTAGGCCCAGTCCTAGGGGTATATTTCAACCCATGTGAATGCTATAATCCAACCATAGTCTTAAAATCATTTCTGTTGCTATAGCCTAATTGTAGTCTTTCATGCCATGATCCAACCATGGTCTTCCATGCAAGTCACAAAGACAGACATGTGTTGTGATCCAACTATAGTCTTTCATACATGTGTTGTGATCCAACCATAGTCTTTTATATAGGTGTTGTCATCCAACTGTTGGATTAAGGTGTCTAAGCTTATAACTAACTTGGTATAAACTTGAAAAGAAAAGCAAAGTCTTTTTGGGTTGCCCTCATAACCAGAAATAGCTAGAAATGATATTAAGGGGGGGGGGGGAGAGAGAGAGAGAGAGAGAGAGAGAGAGAGAGATAGTGAAATGTTTTGTTAATATATATTATTTAATATATTAATTGGAAATATATAATTGATATGTTAATTTGCTATGTGATTAATAAATTAACATGATATCAATAGTTAAATAATTGATTTGTTAATTTACATGGTTAATAAATTTATAAGAAATCAATTAGAATTGATTAAGTATTAATCAAAATTAATCTAGAATTAATTTATGATTAATTGGAATTAATTAAAGGTGCAAGGGGTGAATTATAATTATTCAATAGTTGAACAAAAGAAGCAATTCTAGAATCATCCAAAGGGTGAACGAAATTAGGAGTCTTTCTAGGTTTTTAGAAGCCTTTTGGTTGCATAAAAGGAAATGATTTGAATTAGGATTAAATTTATTATTTAATCAATTCAGATTCTGTTTTGCTTGCAAGTTACCTAAACTATAAATAGGACCCCAAGGCCATCAATTTTCGTTCATGACATTTCTAAGAATATTAGGAACGAAATTTTCTTCTTCTCCATCTCTCTCCTCTTCTAACTATGTTTTCTAGGGTTTTGGGTGTGAGCCATCAGAGGCACCAGATTTCTAGTGCTTGCTTTCTAGAGCTTTGTAAGTCCCCAAAAACTAAGAATCCAACTAGTGATCAACCCAAAGAACAAGCTCAAATGATAAAATAAGAAGGAGTAGAAGTAAGAACGATCCAAATTGCACACGTTTATTGGCTGCAAACGTCTGGTACAATGGACTCGAAAACACACGCATACGACTGTAAACGGGAACAGTGGCTGCAAACACGTTTACAGCCGTAAACATCACCCAACCGCAAACACCAACCAACCGTAAACCCTTACAAATACATGAACAAATACTAACACAGCCTATACAAAAGAATGCCTAGCTCAAACCAACTAAATATGACCTAACAGTCTCCTCCTTGGTTTGAGGCTAGCATGAACTCAATCTTTCTCAATGATTAGCACGTCAGATCTTCCCATGTCCCCCAACCACATCTTCTTGTTAATAATCTCAGCGATCATACTCGTAAACTCTTTGGCGGCAGTCTCGAAAATCTCATTCTTGACCACGATTTGATGTTGAGCCAAAGTGTGAATGTCACGTTCACCAAACTGTAGGAGATCCTTTGTCATAACGACACGAAGGACACCAGTTGGGAATTTGATTACAGCAGTGGTCGTGGCCTCGTCGTAAACCCAATATTCCATATCTTGAAGAGATCCATCATAGAAATGCTGAATAATGGGAATTTCTCTCATTTGCTTTGTAGGAGGCCACATCACAGTTTTCATGGCTTTGTTGGTCTTTGGGTCAAGAACATCTTTGGCTTTCTTCACAAAAGATTATGTTGTCTTAATTCCATCAAACTTCCTATTTACTTGATTCTCTAAAAAGAGTTTGAAGTCACTCCCTCGAGGATCATTTGATGGGTTGAAGAAAGGAGCATTGGCAAGTTCAGTAAGATCCACTTTTGTCCAAGAGCCAAAGTCATTCTTGTGCTTATAGTATTCCGAGTTTCCGCTCTTTCTTTTTACCACCCAAATATTTAATTTATCATGAAATCCCCACATCAGTATTCCTGATCGATCACCATATTTAGTTCTGAACCGCTTCTTTTCCAGCTCAGTCACGGTCAATTGAGGCTGGTCTCCACGAACATTCTTGTCATAATTTTTCATGAAGAGCCATTTCCTTTTCCTTTTAGTAGAGAC